ATTGAGCTCCCTCTGCAAACTTAGATATTAATCTGTATATACGAGAGAGTGCATTTCCTTTTAGACTAAAAGGCACCCCCCCAAGTTGGTCTTTTAAATGACCTGTGAGGCCCCTGTCCTTCCATAACACCACCCTACCCTCCCAGGCAGATTCCTCTACGTATACAGCAGCCTCCAACTCTTTCTGGGGTTATGCACCACCTTAGGGATCTATCAGCGTGGAGCTTGCTGGAAGATGGATGGCAGGGAGAAAAGTGAGGGAAGAGTCAGACATGGTTGGCAATGTTTAGCAGCCTCTCTTGGGAAAGCTGGAAAAAGACTGAATAACTGACAGGAACAGAAGCAGGCATGGACAGACCTCTAATGCAAACTCTGACTAAATTTGAAGAGTCCTGCGGACTTCAGTAAACCACATGGAAAGTGCTGTTTTTTAATAATGATCATGAGCATCTCTACTTGTGCTAAAAATTTCATTCAAGATTCTTGGGTAAATTTATTGCTATTTACTTTTTCCTGTGAATGAGTAAACTGAGGCATTAGGAAGTATTTGACAGCTGATTTTGTGTGGGTAACAGCTGCAGATCTGCATCTATAATCTAGCAATCCTGATCACTAGAGAACTGTTTCACAGTGGATCAAGAGAAAAAAAAGGGAAAAAAAAATCATCTTTCTTTAAGCAATATAAACTAAACCGTGGTTTTTGTTTTGGTATTTGGCTTTATTTGAAGATGTTTGGATCTGTTTTTCTCTCGTCTTTGAATCTTCTAAGGCAGAATGAACTCTATTCCAGTGCTACCATACTCTAAGTAGTCTCTGGAAACTGATTTAATTGGATCCATTCCTTGATTTTGAAATAAGGGGACACAAAATTGTTTTGAACTGTTGTTTCATCAACTAATTTTGGTTCAGGTAAACTCTCTGAGGGATTGGCTGTGTTTACGATTTTGTAATAAATATTCAAAATACTACCATCAAAACAACCTCTACCCAGCTAGGACAAAGCCACACGATCACCACAACATTTTGGTGACTTCAGCAGCACATGTTATGACAGAAATGCTTCAGTCTTGAGAGTGGCTACTTCCCTATTTTTTTAATTGTCTCTTTGTGCCAAGAATATTTGCCTTTCTTCTTCTTTTATACGCATGAAACTGAGTTCTCCATTACATTGTGCTTCAAAACTGCATTTTCCAGTGCCTGGAAAAGACTTCTTCTCAGCCCACGCTGTAGCTCCCAGGAGTAAAGCTTTTTGTGTGCAGTGAGGAGTGCATCATGCTTCAGCCATAACTGGAATGTGCACAGCTTTGTGAAGTTTCTCAGAATGACTCAAAGAGTGGAAGCAAATAAAAAACCACAGAGATATTTGTATCTTAAATGTGCTTCAAGTAACTGCATTATTACCACAGCACCTCCTAGGCTTCCCGTTTTTGCAGATTGCACATTGTCACCACTTCCTAAATAGCTGTATTTATTTATTGAAACTCAAGGGTTTTATTTAACATCTCATGTTAAAAACACTTCTCCTTATCCAAGTCATTTAGGCCAACATGTCCAAATTTGGGTGCCTATAGCAACCCTCCTTAATCTTTATTTAGATGTGCGTGCAAGTAGCTCCATTTTTAAGGGAGGCAGCTGAAGCATTTGTGAAAACCTTACTTCTAATTTCTTTGGTTGCCTGACTTTGAAGTTAGGACCTGTCTCACCAGCACCTTTAAAATGCCAGTTGATAGGGGAGTCCTGAGTTATGGCAGGGGCTGCAATCAGAACGCTCATATAATTATAAGTTAAGCATAAGCTTGAATGAAATGCTGGATTTGAGGTTTTGCTGTATATGACTGACACACACAGAACTGAGGTGAGATTGCTGTAGGAATGAAAGTTATGTGGTCATGTCTTACCGTAGCAGGGGCTCGGGGCATAATTCCCGTTAACTTCTTCCAGGATCCCAGCACTGGCACTTAGGTTTGGAAATGTTAATGCAAACTTCGTTGTGTGCTTAGTCATTGAACCCCAGAGCCAGGGAAGGAGAATGTTTTGGGAGAAGCTAGGAGCTTGAGTCGGAAACTTTCTGTGAGAAACACCAGAGATCTCTTCCCTTACAAAAGGAGAACGTGTCAAAATTATTTTTGTCTGTGACAGACCACACACTTGCTCCCTTCGTCTTGACTGCCATGTAGCTGGGCTCGGAGGCTGCAGGGCAGACAAGCAGCGGGCTGGGACCCGCGGAGCCATGGCAGCAGCTGAAAATCTGCCTCGGGTGCCGTGTCAGAGAACCACAGCACTCCTGGTATGAGCAATGAAGAACACTGAGTTGGGGAAGTGGCAAATTTTAGATTTTAATCTTGCAGGTTTAAGCCCCTGCCAAGTCTATAGTGTCAGCCAAAACCACAGAATTTCAAAATGTGCCTTAACAGCAAACCGAAAAATCAATATGCCTTCCTCATTTTCCTGGGGCACGACAGGAAGGTCCTTTTAGTCCATAGCTGTCTTTCTGTCAGTCTCAGTGGGCATTGTATAAAATCCTGGTGGACAAAAATAAACAGAGGGAAAATGAGGAATTTTTTTGCACCCAGAAGGCACCTTTCTGATGGGAGATCCTCTGTGAAGGAAGCAAATGGATTTCATGCCAAATAAATAGATAAAGCACAACAGTCTCCCATGTAAGACATCAGTATCAATGTAAGTTAAGGATGTAAGTCCATTTCTGCATCATAGATCAAGTAAGGAAATGCTGGACTGTAAACCTTAATTTATAAGTGGGCACAACATTAGTTAAAAGCCAAGTAAATTAGGAGAGATTGGATTGACAGCACCGTAGAAATCTGGGTTGGTAACTGTTCTTAGATTGCCAAGATCCTAAGAGCCCTTATATAATAAAACTGTGCTCGAGGAAATATTTGCAGATTGAAGGGAAATGATAAGGGAGTAAATTATTTACACAATTTTTTTCAGCTATCTATAATTGTGGTTTATAATGAAAATAGGAGGCCAGATTTGATCTCTAAATGAGTGCAGCTCCATGGATCTAGCTTATAATTTACAAATAATTTATCTGAAGATAAATGACAATGTATAAAATGATTCATTGTTTGCGTGGATGAATGGTAATTCATATATATATATATACACTTTCTTGCTCTTTTCACACATACAACAGCGGAAGTTTTGCAGACAAAACCAAAAATACAGTCTCATGGGTCAGACTGTTTCTACCACTGTGTTACTGAAATTTCTAATCATCATCTCATGACAATAGTTTCAAGGGATTTATGAAAAAGTAGCAAAGAATACACTTTTCTGTAATTTACTATTTCCTGTAATTCATCATACCATTTTTTGCCCAAATCACTTTGACTTTTTTTCAGGAGTATCATATATCACAATCCTACTGCTGGTGACCCTTTTTTGACTGATACTCTCCTGCCTTTGTGCATTGTTAATTGCTGATCCATTGCAAAGACAACTCTAAAACTAAAAGGCAAAGCAAGAGACAGCTTGACAGGGTAGGATAACTAACTGGAAGGCTACCTCTGCCAGGTTTTGTTTGGTTTACAAAAATAAAAAATAAATAAAACATTTAGTTAACTTAAATCTTTAAATATCGCTGACCTAGTAAGTGAAATTGTATAATCTGTATAGTCTAATTGTATTGTATTTATAGTCCTGTTTTTGAGGACAGGAATTATTGTCTACAGAGGCCAACCCAGGCACATTAAAGGCATTGTTCTGGGGTGTGCACTGATGTGCAGTGTTAGTGAACTTGAATGCAATGAGGAGGAAATACAGATTAGGATGCAATGCTTATGACATGTCTTTTAAAAATTGACACTTTCAGAATGTATTTATGTGCACTTGGAATCATCTTTCAAGATTCCCAGCAATTATTTGAGGAATGGCTTCACTCTCAGTTATCTTCCTGTTGTGGCAGAAGATGATCAAATAATTAGGAGCCAGCTGGGAGCTGGAAGTTTTGCAGTTTCCAGCACTGACACAGTCTTCCTGTATGACCCTGGCTCAGTCACGCAATCTTTTTGTCACTCAGTTCCTCATCTGTGCTTTAAGTATGTGAAAAAAATGAAGTATTTTTACTTGTTTGTTTATCCCTCTGAAACGCTTCTCTAATGCCACACCTGCCAAGTGCAATGGGTCCTTGTGGATTGCACAGTGAAAGTTGCTCTGAGTAACCAGACCTCACCCACAAAGGTTTTTAGCAGCTTTCATGCACCCACAAGGAACTGACGTTGTCCTGAGCTCCCATTTAATGAACTCCTGCTCCCCTGGTAGGTGGTAGCAACCTGATGAAAGTTTTACAAGTTATTTTCCTGGTTTTATAAAAAGAAAATTACTCATAATTGGAGCAGTTCTAGGAAATGGGAAGTGTTGTCAGGCACACAGTAATTACACAGCGAGTCAGAGATAAGCATAGGGGGCCACCAGTGCGGCGCGTGGTATTCTGCTGGGGGACACGGCACTGCTGCAGAAATTACAGCAGAAGTCCTCATCCAGCGTCACAGCTCCTGACACGAGTATTTACAAAGCCTATCACAGCTGTGCCACACAGAGTCTTCTCTTTGTCCATGTTAACATGTAGAGAATAAAACCAACAGCTGGAGGAGGGTTACACACCCTCCTTGGAGTCACACCATTCAGGGAGCAGATGGAATAGAAACACAACTAGATGAGGCCTGGACTGAAGATGCTGCTTGAGGGTACTGGCACAATTTCTGGGGAAAGGAGATGCTCCTTCATTGTCACACTTCCTTCTGCATGTTGTCTTAACACCTCAGAGATGGTAGACACATTGACCATCACTTCAGATTTGAGGAGAGCCATGAAACTGGCATAGAAAGCAAGCCACTGTGTTTTAAGGACTGCTCAAGCCCTTTTTCTGTATTTTAAAAGGCAAAAGCTGTTTTTTATCTATTTTTCATGTCTTCACAGGTATCCAGGTTTCTCTTGTTTGAAATTGACTCTTCTCCAGGATTATGTGACCATTGTACAGTAAGCAGTTTTTATTCTTTTTCTTGTTCAATTTGTGGGATTGCCTGAAGGGAGATCACAGTTTCCTCACAATTACTTTGTGTTTTGTTTACTCCCTGACCTGACTGGGAATGTCCAAAATTTGTCCTGCGGCATTGAGCTGTGACCAGTTGTCGAAGTCACATGGAAGACGTGATGGGTTGATCCTGCAAGGCAAAGTGACCGGGATTTGAGGGTATGTTAGAGGCTTGTTTTTTTCCTTCACTGACACCACTTCACGCAGTTGAAGGGTGACTAGTTATCACGGAATCACAGAATTGTCAGAGTTACAAGGGTTATGTGGCATTAATCTGGTTGCTTAGTCGTTATCTTCACCCCATGACCTAAGCCTGCTGATGTACACAGCCTCCAACCCACCTTAGAAGACCAGTGATATCTACCCTAAATGTTTAAATGACTTTAACATCTGATTGTCTATTTATTTTCAACATATGTTAAAATTGTTGTTGTTTTGGGTTTTTTTTCAAATTAAGCTTTGTTTATCTAATTATCCTTATCTTTTTGTTACCTTTTCTCTTGGTTAACATTAATTATCAATAACTTCTGCCATATAAGTGACTGAATTTCCAAAGGGCTCATTTCACATGTACCCCCTCCAGAGGATTTAGGATTGTCCTTTTGAGTATTGTCCTTCCTCTGCCCAGAGATGCCCAAACCAATTCTGTCCTCCTCTTGCTTTTAAGTTTTTCTGTCCATAAAGGAGTCATATCCACCTCTTGGTACAGTGAACTAAGTTAGCACCACGTCTTTGAAAGTATTTCCATTCTGTGTATGGTCAAGGCCCTATAAGAGTCTCTAGCACAGACGAGCTCCTGGGAATGATGTGTTGCTACCAGAAGGGCATGGGATACCCAGGGAGCCAGATCTGACTTGTTGCACTGGAAGACAGACAATTGTACTCCTAAATGGCCTGTGAAGGCCTTGAAGAGGCATCTTGCTAAGTTGTAAAGGACAATTGATACTCTGTCAGCATGTGAGAGCTTCAAAATAAAAATACCAGACTTACATCCTTTTTCCACGTCCTTGGAGCTTCAAGGAGTAAATGCATTCGTTTCCTTTCATTTTGCATCCGATTGCTTTTAGACATAGTTAGGATCAAATCTTTCCAATGTTGATACCTATGACAAAACTCCCTCTGACTTTCATGAGACAGGGATTTGGCCCATAAGAGTTAGTGTCTGGGGAGGAGGCATTGAAATAAATGGTGGTTGTCAAAGCACATTGGAATTTAGAGCACATTTGTTGCAAAGATAGAAGCTCACTGGGGTATCTGATTGTCAGAGTCAATTTTATTTTCCTTACTGCACATATGCACATACTTGAACCTTGTCATGCTGCAAAGGGAAATACCTCATTAGATTTCGCTAGGGTTTCTTCGGAATTGTTTATACACTACAGTCAATAAAGATATTTTTTTGTTTAATAAATTAAATACTGGAATGGCCTGTTCTATCAGGAAATCGAAGGAAGTGCATTTATCCCTGGTAAAGATGAAGCTCTACTTTATAGGGTGCCGAAAGCCTGCAATGTGCATTATTTTTCAAATAGTTGAAAGATTTATAGTGGTAAATGGGTCCTTTTTCAGTCTCTTGATCATAGTGCCTGCAACAAAGCAAATGTTACAAACAAAAACAAGAGTAAACCAAGAGCATTTCTATGTTCTGTATTTTCAATTATGATTTTAACAGAAATGAATCACTTGTCCTTTTTTCTTTGGAAACAGTTTTACTTCCCTTTTCCCCACTGGACATATAATTTTGATTTATAAACACAGCAATCTGGAGCAAAGGGAAGTTTTAAGCACAGTACCTACTGCTGCTGAGGCCTAGTCTTGTTTTGCTTAGAATTTTTATTTTTATTTCTCTACATTTTCAGATCAATTATTGCTTTCTACTTAATAGACTAAAAACATGGTTGCAGATGACATATTTTGCCCATTCCGAATTCAAACAGGCCTAAGGTTTCATCTTGCACCCAAGGCCTCATTTTATAAACACAGTGAAGAGTTCTTCCAGTTAAAATGTGCTTTTAACTGGGATAAACCTGTCTCCCAATGTTAAGACTTATAAATCTTCTCCACAGGGCTATTTACAATCCAGCTACTGCATGCTTACTTTATTGACTACGAATGAATAAATCAGTTTTCCACATCACCCCATTCTCTTTGCTGATGTTTTGATTTGGTGTCTATCCAAAAGTCTCTGATCATAGACACATGATTATAAAACCATCTCTCGCACTGAAAACTATTTAAGAAACAAGCAATGGAATTAACTTCTTTTAGATATTGTTTTACACTGCACATTTGAACTTGGGGATATACATTTTTCACAGGGCTCAGTTCTGCTGGGCAGAACACTCTGATAAGGCTGCAGAAGCCAAGAAAGTAAATGAGGGGGTTTTTCATCATTCACTGCTTGGCTTGAGTTTCCACAACACAGAATCTATGTCTTTACCTCAGCTGGGGCTCTTTGAGTGGATGCAGGCAACTCTATCCTTTAAAGATTTTTAAATCCTTTAAAAGAGTTTCATAGGGCTGTTTTGATAAAATCAGGATTTTTTTTTTGTATTGCACCACTCAGGTGGGATTTTGCAAAATTGCAAGAGGGAAAAGGATTGGCCATCAAAGCTTTACACTGTTTTTTCCATCCATTTCCTGAGTATTTAGGAAATACAGAAAAGTGTTTTCATTCACAACTTATGCCTGAATTTTGAAAGTCTGTGAGAGATCTCTAGAACTGCTGGGAAACATTTTATACACTACTATAAGAGATTGCCTTGGGTCTCAGCAATAGTGTCTGCCATTCTTCTCTCCCCATCGCTTTAGGGAGAAGAGGCATTTCTAGATCGGGATCTACTCCTTTCCTCCGCGCCCTGGTGGAATGCAGAGCTAGAGGGAGCCTGCAGAATGCAGGCAGCATCTAGTGATGGGAATAACACAAGGACCAGCCTTGCGAGGCATTTGATCTCACAGGAAGAGCGCCCCTGGGAGCTGACAGAATTCAAACCCCAGGTGATGCCTTTGCTCAGTTTCAAAGCCAAGACGCAAACCTGATCCCGCAGCTCATCCGGAGGTGAAAGTCCATGGCAGTGCAACACTTGACGATTCCCCCTGTAGGACAGGTAAGACACAGTTTGTAGACTGTAAAGAGGACAAGTGTCCTTTTTAATTTTAGAGAACAGCAGATAGTTCGGGGGAATGTGGGATGTGCAGAAACCAGTGGATGAGCTGTCTTGCAAGATCTTGTTTTCGTAACTCTTGATCTTGCAGAGATTTATGATATCAGTATTGCCTATTCCAAACAACGTGTCATTTTGTTTATACTCAGCTAAGGCCTGTGCACCTAAAAAGGTTGCATTACATTTCCTGAAACCAAATTCCTATATTTTATTATCTGGGATAGAGAAGGACCATGCTTGCCCACATTGGTCTTCAGATTATCCTCAATCTTATTCCAAGGGAATCAGATTTTTTTGTGCACTTACAGATGTGCCTGGCAATTCTGTCTTAATTATATTAAGTCATTCATAGCATATGTGGAAAATAAATCAGTCACTGAAATGCTAGGTAATATTTAAGTGCATGTGGCTTGTTCGAGTCTCGGTGGTATCACTTGAAGTGTCAAGGAATTGGATTGAATTCACAATTTAATTTCAAAGAGAGAGCCTTTTGAAGGTAACACAGGATTGACTTGAGCTGGTGTCACTGATGATTTTGTGCTGTCTGTCATTTCCCTTCTTTTCCTTTGTGGAGTGAAACATGTAAGAGATGTTCTGTGGGCACATGGTGCCTATCAGGCCCTCGGTGGCAGCCTTGTTACGGGATTTATCTCCCTTCTGCCGTGCCACTGCTGCCCGTCTAACCCCAACCCTGTTCCTGCATCACCTCAGGTAGGAGCACCGTTGCACTGCGGTGTCACTGTGTAATTTGGTGATGGTTTGAGCAAAAGAGAAGCGAGGACAATTTCACTCACTCAATATCTCAGTTGTCCTCTTTGTCTCTGTACTGGCTTTATAGGAGAGTGACAAGGCACTGAGGGAAGCAGCATAAATCAGATGAATCTGGGCCTCTGTTTTGCATTCAGTGTTTTCCTACAACAGCCACCAACAAACAGCACCAAGGCACCAATAATGCAGCTAAGAGAAACTACAAACCAAGCCGGAGAAAGTCCGGCAATTGTCCACTGTAGAGAAAAATGAGAAGATTCAAATTTTGAGGCAGATTATCTCTCTGGGACTATTTCAGATGGGAAAAATTACTCTAGAAAAAGAGAATAGAACATTAAAATCCCAAAGAGCAGTAACAGACAAGACACTAGCTAAAACACCTCCTAAAAATAAAGAATGAGACTTTGTCCTGGAAAACACCAGCAAGTGGCCTGTCACAGAGACAGGGAGACATGGTGCAGAGAGATGGTGAGGATACAAAAAGAATGATGATATCGCAAGTAAAACAACGGTTACAAGGGAAGCTGAAGACAAATGGTAAGGGAGCAAGAGCAACAGATGTTTTCCCTTAAGATCATAAATGAAAACAGAAATCCTGATGCACAGGAGCTTTTCCACAGAAATACATCTATATCAGAGCACAAAACACCAAGAATAAAAGCAAAACAGTCTCCTTTTTGCAAAGAGAATGAAGGCACATAAATAAATTTAGGTAAAATTTAAGGTAAACTACCCAGATATGTGGTGACGGGTTATTGTTTCAAGGGCGACAATCATATCCCTTCCCACCCAGACATGCTGGGTTCTGGTGATGTTTTCATGACTGGCTGCCCAAGGGTGAGGCAACTGGCCCAAGGTTTGGCCTGAGGTGGTGGTTGTGCCATGGTGGGAAGCAGACACAGTGTTACACATGCAGATGCTCTCCCTTAGACATCCGTAACTGGCCGTTACAAAGGAGCTGAAGGGACCTTGGTTCTCACCTGCAGTGTCTGTTTCTGTATCCCCAGGATGCAATTTTCTTGAGCATGTTGTGATGCTCACAATACGTTGTATCCTGGCTTATGTGCAGACAGGTTAGTGCACCCACAAGATATGACTAAAATTTGAGATCCCTGCAGTTTTCATTTTCATTGTGGAGTTTCTGGTCAAGAGCAGGATGATTCCCCCTTGATAGGGCAATACTTTTCAGACAAGGAGGGCCAAATAGCATCCTCTCCAAATCAGTCACCTTTAGTCCTCTCATCAATTAAAGAAAAGCTAAGGCATTCTCCAACGCTCCTACCATGGCTAGGGCAGGCTGACCCTTCCCGTCACCCCCTGCCCACAGCTGCTGCCAGCCCATCCTCTCCAAGGTCTGCTGGGGTACCACTGGACCCCTGGGTGCTGCAGCTTGGGCCCTGAGGTGCCCCTGGGAAGTCACAAAAAGGTGTACGTGAAGTGCCAGAGCACAGACCACATTCCTGTGGCTGCTGCTGTGTAATCAGGTCCCTGCAGGTGAGCCCACGGCTGGAGCTGTGTTGCTGAGGGCATCCACAACCCTGGCTGGATTTCCACTTGGTTCTCTGCTCTTTATTTTTGCCCAAGAACATCCACATTTGATCTCTGCTAAGTTAAAAATGCAGCAAAAAGTGCTTTCTCAGACCAAGTCCCTTTCAAGGCTGACATTATCAGTTTGGAATATTCACAGGGCTATTGGGTATCCGGAAGAGGCGATGGCTGGGATCAGAGTGTCCCGTTCAAGCCTAATCCAAATATCTCCCCAGATTTAGCTCAGCCTATCAGGAAAGGTAATTTAGCACCTGGGGAAGATAGGGTTTGTAGCCTGCATTTGGCAGGCCAGCCAGCCACCTCTGAATGGACCTTCCAGATGAGAGATTCTGTCACAAAAAAAGTTCATGGAGGTGTTAAGTGCAAAAGCATTCCTGAACCAATAGCAAATAAAAAAAAAATATCCCACTGTTGCCAGGAAAGAATAGTTTTCTCTGTGTTTTTCAAAATGTTGTTTGCATAAATAGCTGGGAAAGAAGGAAAATGGGGCGGGGGAAGAGGGGGTTGTGGGGGGAGGAGGACCACTGTGATTTTCACAGTTCTGATATACATGGTGTACATGCAGGAGAACTCTGGAAACCATCTGGTCCTGCTGTCAGTGTGGTGTGTGATTTGCTGGGCTATGGACATACCTGCTGGGTACAGGAGGGTGACAGAGCTTTGTGCTACACAGCATTGTCAGTGGAAGCAAGAATATGTACAGATGTGTGCATGGGGATCACGGAAAGAGACAGCGGATAGAGGTTTAACGGGCCCAAGGGACTTAGGAGCCTGTGCCCCATTTGTGTGACTTCTTGTTGGGGATTCAGTCTGATGTCCTGGCCATAAAATTGCTATTCCTCAGCCCAAGCACTGTAACCGCCTTTGAATGCTGGAGCCAAGGGCTCGTCCTGATGGTGTGGGTTAAGTCTGACCCCAGGACAGCCCCGTGGCCACTGCAAAGCACAGACATGGAGCACAGACACCTTGTCAGGGGCAGGTGGGAGATTGTTATGGCCCATAACTCAGTCTCAATGCCAGCACACAGGGTCCTGCTTCGGGTCTATAAGCATTGTTTAACAGGACTCCCAAATTACTTGGATAACTTGAATGTTTTCTGCCTATTTGGGGGAAAAAAAAAAAAAAAAAGGAAGATAGAAAAGCTGAATGCTCACAGTTTGAACCAACAGGAGAGCTGACCATGAGCAGATTTGTGAAACATCATAGCACTGTTATTGTGGGTTTCCAATTGCAGAAAGAGGAATAAAACTGACACAAGTTATAATCAAAGAAGAAGTAAAGGGCTGGAAAAGAAATAAGGCCGGTCAACATTGTTTCATGAACAATCAGCCTCCTTGCACAGATCTGATTTCATCCTCTGGTGAGATTATAAACTTGCTTGATAAAGGTGACTGCATAAATGTAACAGACGTTTTACAGTTTTTGACTACTACTACACAACATTCAGACTTTCAAAAATTACACACTGTAATACAGCGTGTGAGGTACTAAACAGTGTAAAGAGCCAACCAAGCATCAGGGCCCACAAAAAGCACTCATCAAGACACGGGCATGACCAGAGAGGCTGGATGCTCTAAACTCCTCTTTGGAGTAGTCAGGAGAAATGACTGGCTGCAGAAATCTCTGTGTTTTGGGAAAAAGGACCATCCAGATGTGTATATAGTTTATTAAATACCTGCAAACAATATTGCTTGCCCAGCCGCAAATTCATTAACCTACAATTAAACTCTCCTTGGGACATTTCCAAATTAAACGTTTTGGGGAGGCATTGAAGAGTCATTGGGATTCAGTTTCTCAGATTAAAAAGGGAAAAACCTGCTAGTTTGAGGAATAAACATTAAAGAACACAAATGGGTTTGGGTTTGACTTAGAGCTATTCTTCCTTAAATCTGAACTTCCCAAATTTAAATGCCAATAGCATTTGAAAACCATTCTGAAAAAATATGTCTCCTTCGCCATTATAACACCACTGTACTGAAACTTCCTAGTTTTCCTCCACCGTTTCACAGTAAGCAGAGTTCTCAGTTTAATATACTTCTGTCATGAAACGCTTTGAAGTAGATCTCTCTTTAACAGTTTCACATAACCTGTGAATCATGAGCTTCTTCCAGTATTTTTATTGTTAATTACCATGTAAACAAAATGAAAAATTTTGGGGGTGGGGAGAGCAGAGAAAGAGACACCTTGTGTGTTTATTTTAATATTGTAAGAGGTCCCTCCCATAGGAGAAGGTAAACCACATCACCATTGTGAAAGCTGGTGAGAGTAATGTGAGTATAAACTAAAGTGAAAGAGAGCTGGGTATTTCCACCAGACTTTGATTTCCACAGAGTAGCAAATCAGAGATGGTAATTTCAAAAGTAAAACAAATTTTTCCCAAGAAAGTTATTTATTTTTCTGAAACTATTTTTATTTATCATTTCCCATTGCAGAGATACTGGCTTTTGTCTATGATTTTACTGTAATAGAGATGAAGTTGAATTCATTAGTTACTATAGCTCCTTGATGTTACACACTTCATTTTTGACCAGTTTTTGTTATTCTGGGCTAAAAACCACAAAATAATTTACAGTTAGCTGAAAAAGCAGCTGTATAAAAATCTTGCTTTGTAGCTTAAATTTTAGGCAGAGTGTACATTTTATATAAAAGATTGCGGGGGGTGGGACAACACAAGGACAAGAGAAACCCTGGTTTGTGTATAGTACAGTCCAGTTTGTTCAAACCCAGTGACCAGGGAGGTGTTACTGGATGATGGGAGCACAGAAGGTCAGTGTCTGTCTGGTTGACCACATAGTGAGCAGTAGTCCAAGGGGCTAACAGGATGATTCTCCACTTTACCGGTACAAGGGCGTGGGGGTATAACAACAGGGTAATTTTTAAATTCAGATTTGCATTCCTGATGAGAAAAGAGGGCGCTGAAATGAATGTTGCAGTGATCTACCCAAAAGCATCTGCTTCCCTTCAGTGTCTAAATGACCCACCACCCTTTGTCATCAGCCTTGCAGTCTCTTCCACTGAGCATTGACCTGATTGAGGCTCTTTCTTTCAAAAAAACCTCTTCTTCTCTGTCTTGCTGTATGGTGTGGCCAGTCTAAGTGCTGTGCTGAGCCCCATCAGGCAATACCTCAAAGAAGACTGGAGCAAACCCGCCTGGTTCAGCACCATAACTTTGTATCCCCAGGCTGATGCCTGCAGTACGGCCTGGCACTACCTGGCACTCTTTATCGGAGCCAAATCTTCCTCCCTGTAACTGCTGCTGGGGATTCAAAGTGTTTCTGCTTTCCCTCTCACATCCCTATGGGCTAACCACACACTCTTGCTATTGCTGGTCTGTAACTGCCTTCAAAAGAAAACAAAATATATATATAAAAAAAAGGCTCAGAAATCCCCTAACTAATTTTATCAGCTAGAGAGCTGGCAAGCAGAAGTGTATGTGTTGTAGAACCGAAACAGGTGTGGGCTGAGCATTTTCCACATTTGGTCTTGGCAAAAAGTATCAACAGAGGGTATTAATTCCTCCACACTGATAATGGGAGCTTGGAATACGTTATCTGAAATAAAAATTCTTGGCAGAATTCCTCACATACTCAAATGGGCAAAAAACCCCTGATAATAATGTTTTTCCTTTTTTTTTTTAAATTTATTAGGAATCTTTTCTTAGTGCACTGATTTGTGTGTGAGTTTTATTGAAGGATTTTTTTTGTTTGGTTGGTTTGCTTTACATGTGAAATCATCCTTGCACCTCTCTTAGACAGTGAGCTGGATCCCATGGCTCTGACCCTTGGAGGTCCCCAAATCCATCTGAGTGTTCTACACACCAGCCCACTGGCCACAGGACCAGGATACTTGTTCTGGCTGTGTTTTAGGAGAAGAAAGGATGGTCCTTTTCTCCTCTGAAAGACAAGATTTGCTGCTGGATTTCATGCACTGACTCCCAGACAGACAGACGGCCTCTGTGCCATGCCAGGGGAGAGATCAAGGTCTCTCCTGTATGGTCTGTGATCTGTGTGTGGCCTCTCACCAAAGCTGGGGGTTTAGGGCTCACAGAAACCAGGCAAAGCAGCAGGATGTTCATAGATTTACAGATACTCAAGAAACACGGTTCTTCAGACCTAAACTATGTTTCAGTGGTTTCTTCCTGTTACGTTTTTTCTGTAAGGAGAAATAGTACAACAGTAGTAAATTATCTTTGGGGTTTGGATTTTAAGCTGTTTTTTTGTTTGGTTTCTTTTTCCTATTTCGCCAGTTATGCTTTGGTAAATAGGACCGTAGAGTTTAAATAGTGCAACTGAAGTTTATACTCAATATGATGTTTATCCCAGTCTGAAGTCTGAATATTTGAGACATGGATGTTGTACCCCAATACATGTCGTGAGTCTAAGTGCCCTGTAAACATTACATTTCCATCCTGTTTGAGATCAAACCGCTCAGCTCATTTCTGGAGTTCCCAAAATCCTCCAGTAACTGCTCTCATTTTCAGCAGTATCATTTGTTGTTATCTAAGATGAGGGCTGGACTCGGTTCCTTTCAGGTCTTCAGCATCATAACATCTTCTGCATAGTTTGGTTAATTTAATGCTCTTTAATTTTGCCTTCAGATTTGCTTTGATTCCGCTGCGCTTGCTTTGGTGACATTTTCCGGAGGCGTTCTTCTCCGCGCCGGCTGAATTCACCTCCCTCCACACAACAACGCTCCTCAAGTCACTTATCCCCCAACTCAGCGTCTTGGTAGCAGGTCCCATTGGAAAAGCCAACGGTAAACGGGCTGGGGGGAGAGGGGGGAGGAATTCTCAATGAAAAGCTCAGCCACGTTTATTTCTGCACGTACGGGCTTCAGTAACCTTCTTCATTGGGTGGCCAAAGAGAATGCAGTGGGAAGCCCGTAACCCGTAGATGGCCAGAGGATCCGGGCTTATTCCGAGGCGGCGCTCGGGAGGGGTGGGGTGATGCCAAGGGCCCGACGTGGTGCTTTGCCATATGAAATCCCAGCAGCTTCTGCCAGCTGCAGCAGGACTGGGCTGTGTGGGCGCCAAGCCGCGGGGCCACACACAGCCTCCGAAGCTCAGCACCCACACGGCCAACCAGGGCTTTTTTTTTTTTTTTAAAAAAAAAAAGGGAAGGGAAAAAAAAATGCTGAATCAGACTCTCGGAGCCTAACCAAAAAACATGCACATAAACTATAATTTTTATTATAAAAACTCTGGTTGGGAACAGAGATGCTGTAGAAAAGCTGGAGAAGGGGGGAAATATTCCTCGTGTTAAAAGCAAGCTGGAGTTCATGGCGTTTGACCACAATAGTTTTCTTGGCTGCTACAGTTCTATGACTGATTTAAGAGGGTTTAAGGTTAATAAACCATAGTTGCATGTTATTATCTGTGCAGCTCTTGCACTCTCACTAGCAATGCCATTTATTCCTAGATTTATGATGATCACCGTACAAGTATAGAGGTTATGGGTTTTTTAGGAACATTTGCTGGTGGAAGGAAAAAATGAGAGAGCGGGGGGGAGAGAGACTTGATCTTCTAACCTGTAGTGCTGCTACATCTAGGCCATAAAAGGCATTGGTCCATAACCTGGCCCAAAAGCTAGAATGCACAAAAAAACCCCCAAACTTCTCCTCACCTAACAAGCATGACCATAAATTCAAATGTATCAAACAGCATTGCTGGTCTCAACATGACTGACTGATGGGTGGGTCACTAAAACTGTGGGTAAGTACAAGAAGAAATAGCAAAATTAAAATGCTGTCCCTTGGCAAGAGAGGTGGTGTTTGCCTTTCATAAATTCCACAATAATTGGGTTTTCTTAAAGAGAAAAAAATAGGGTGGTGCATCTTTTTCTTTTTTCTTTTTTCTTTTTTCTTTTTTCTTTTTTCTTTTTTCTTTTTTCTTTTTTCTTTTTTCTTTTTTCTTTTTTCTTTTTTCTTTTTTCTTTTTTCTTTTTTCTTTTTTCTTTTTTCTTTTTTCTTTTTCCCTTTCATTGCTTCAAGGCTTTAAAACCATACTATAAAAGCTGAAGGATATTAATCCGTCATAAAAAGCTTAACACACGATGATATAAATGGCAGGAAAATGATCTACAACAGTGTTAAACCACAGAATAATTATTAATTATTAAAGCCTTAGCTCCAAAATATTCTAAAGGACTTTTCCTGCTTTCTGTTAGTTCAGGAAGAGAAAAAAGTAAGAAAGAAAGAAAAGCCTATAGTCCGTTTCCAGTCTCTCATGCTTTCTGAGCTGAACTCTGCATACAAATCTATATTTGTAAGACACCCTCATCTACCAGTTAATCAAAGCCCTGGAAATTCAAGGAAACCTGTGTTTATGGAAATCTGGCATTTCTGTAAAGTTTTGAATGAGAGCTAAATAGAGCAGTTCATCTCATTGAAACTAATGGCTTCTGCCAAGTGGTTTTGCAGCGCTGGGTCTTCTGGCACAGTCAGCATTTAGGAATTCATTTATGAGCTGGGTTAGCTGGAGACTCTGGAATTCAAATTTATGTCTAAGACTTAGTGGTTTATTCCTGATAGGTCTCTGTAAAGAAATTGTAATCAATTTACCAAACTCGAACTTTGTAATATGCAGAATAGAAAGCTAGCCTTTTTTGCCTTTTTTTTCTGTTCATGATTTAGGGCTTGGGTTTTTTTTTCCCCTTTCCCCAGTGGACAATTGCAAACTGTACACATGTACATTGTGTGGCTGAAGGGGGCTTCTTAATCACCCATTCATACTTGCTTTTGAAAAAGCTTTGTCCTTGTGCTCTTGACTTCCTACGGGCCTGATCCTGCTCCCGCTGGAAGTGCTCACATTTTCCTGCGGGGGAACAGAATCTCACTTCAGATGAAGTCACAGTTGCACATAAAAGGCAGAGAAAAGTGTGACTTGTCACACAAGTTGATTTTATTTCAATCAGTGTTTGCACGAACAGGCAGCCAGGGTCCATTAAGTACTTGGTTGATTTGCTTAAAAAATGTATGTCTCCAGGAGCTGGCCAGCATATTTGAATATTGGCTTTTTTTCTGAGTCATAAAAACCTAGACATTTTTAGCAAGCAATGAACAAGAATTGCTCTACCCTTTCAATGCAACTATAAATTTGTTCCTTTTTTCCCCTTTTAGAACTCCTTTGAAGAACTCATTGAATAAATTAACAACTTGGAAAGCTGCCTGCCGTTTTTGTTGGCTTTGGGTTTCAGGGAGTTGCTTGGTAAACAAAAGTCAATGGATTCAAACAGTAACAAAGTAATTTAAATGATTAATCAAGTGCTAAAACTAGCTTAACCTCTCCTGTTTTACAAACTCTATATCACCCTCACTAAACTAATAGAGGAATAAGACACCCGTCTGGAAATCTCATCTGAAATATTAGATTGAGAATCAAAAATTCAGCCAAGCAGTGTGGTTTGTAGGGATATCCTGGCGGATAATAAATTGCATTAATCTTACTTAAATTTTCCATCTAAATCATGTCCTGAGACCATATTGCACTGAAGGGAATGTGCCTCGCTTTGAATGCATTGTGCTACTGAAAAGGTTATTAAAAGGGGAGAAAAAAAACAGATAATGACTTTTCTTGTTTTTCTTCTGACTACTTTTTCCAATATTGAGGAACCTACGTTAAATATTCTGGCACCTAATGAAGAAAGTCTGCTTTCTCCTGCCAGTGCCTATGTTTTCTAATAGAAGATAAGAAACTCACATACTCAGAACACTTGAGGCAATTTTTTTTTCTTGCCAGAAATTATATGTGTGGACAAAAATAACCCCAGAGTTTTCCCAGCATCGTCAGAGCTAAGTATTTTCCTTGTCTTGCTCATTCAGAAGAATTTCACTTTTCCAGCTACCCAGAGTATGAAAACAATATCAGAAAAGCTCCCCTGGGTTTTTTCATCGACTTGCAAATCTGAAAGAAGTCCAAAGGTTATGAAGTCCTGCCCATCTTTGCTGCTTCTGCCCACCGCCTACCATACCAACGTCATTTCCTAAGTCTTAAATGAAGTAGAAGACACTACAATGAAAGGTGGAGTTGCTGAAAAGCACAACCACTCATTAATTGGGAGTGGTGCCATCAGCTGCACCGATGGGTGGGAAGTGGAGCTCCTCAGGCAGGACCATGGCTCCACGTTGTGAGGTTGTCATCAAGGCTGACAGAGGGGACCACGCCAACATCCTGAGATTGGGCACATGCCTGGATCGGGGCTGCGATGGGCAGGGGCAGCCCTGGGGCTCCTGCTCAACTCAAACAAGTGGCCAGACACGGGGTCATGCCAGCGTGGCGGTGTGGAGACCAAGCCGGCTGGTGTCTGAGGAAGCTGCTTCCACGGGGCTTCGGTGTCTTGCCTGAGGTCCTCACTCATCTGAAGGATTAGCGAGTACAAATTGAGGAGGAAACTGCTGCCACTTGGCACCAGAAAAGCCATGGATGTACTGTCAGTGCGGGACAGAGCCACGGTCATGGTTCTGTCTGGGGAGACAGGAGGGGACAGAGAGATGACAGAAGAAGTCCCCAGGAATCAGCAGGCCGACCTGATGTGCCGGTTAGACAAGGCGGCAACGTGGCTGCTGCCAGAGCTGTCCACAGAAAGATGTGATTATCACCAAACACATCAGCAACCACATCATTCAGAACCGAGAGGAGAATTATTTCCAAAGACCGTTACACAACATTACGCAACGTCGTGCTGATGGGCAATTTTGTCCTCTTCCTATGAAAATGTGGCCTTGGAAGCCCTGAAAAGTGTTTGGCAGCTTCTGCCAGTATTTCGCCCCCAGTCCGAAGTCTTAGAGCGCTGTGAGAACAGGAGTGCACCAGGCTGGTCTGAAATGAGCCTTTCACAAAGGCCGTCCACTCCGCAAACACTGTTGGGACTGTCTGTCCCAAAATAATGTTTTTCACTCGTTCTGCAGCATCAAAAGCCGAAGATATGTCAGATCTATTTTCCACACAAATTGTTTTTGCACAACTAGGAAAATACTGAACCAGCAAATTCTTCTTGGGAAACAAATTCCCATTAAAATCAATGAGGCAAGCTTCCCACTTGTTTCTGTGGAGTTTTGTTATGTATTAAACAGCCTCATTTCACTTGTATTTAGGAGTAACAACAATTTAATATGCTGCTGCTAAGTCACAAATCAAGCATAAAAATGAGTCATCTGAGCTCAAAGTTTGTACATTTCTTTATACAACTGTTGCAGTCATCATCCAACCTGGCTTTTAAAAATTCTGGTAAATCACAATTGAAGTTGTGCTTCAGATGTAGTAAATACTTTCAAGGCACCTGAAGAGTCTTTATTCTTCCCTGAAGTCCAGACACACAGAAGTGGAAAAAGGAGGGGAGGGAGGCAATTTAAGAAACAATGAGGCTTTTAAAAATCAATTTGTTCTCATTTAAGGTCATAAACAGTGAAATAGCAATCTGACTTGATTTCAGGAGAGGATTAATGTTGCCTGGGTGGGTTTGCCATTCCTTTTTTTGCCTTAACCCATTTGGATTTGCTCTGAGTGCAGCCTTAACTGGGGCTTGCAAAGCCGGAGTTGGGGTAAATGTATTACCATGTTGGGCTTCTCATCCTCTGGGCACAGACACTTGCTCTCAGTTTTGGCTTCATTTTGATGTAAGGTTTTGTTCTTTTTCCTGTCTGGGAAGGTATCGTAGATCTATATGCTTGAAAGATTTAGCCCAGTTCTGAACTGTTGCAGAAATTCAGCAAATTCCAATTCAGAACTAGAATTTATCCCCTTATGAGTAATACCATGAACGGGACCCCATCGCCCAGCCACCTCCAGGCTTGTGTCCTGTGTTTGGGGTTACCTTTTCTGAGAGAGGGCCAGGGCGAGCAGCAGGAACCCCTTCCACCCCTGGGTCTCCTGCACATTGAGTTTTGGGGTGCAGAACTAAGGTGCCAGCACAATCCTTACCCAGCTCCAGGGAGTTCCCCCTGCCCAGAGCATGGTGTGAATGGCACTGCTGTCCCCATCCCTCAGGAGCAACACGGAGGTCGGGACGTGCACCAGGAGACCATCTCCTACAGCTCAGTGCTGTTCCTGCACCCAGTGGCGTGGATTCACAGAGCTCCCACTGATCTCCAGGATCAGCTTCCTGCCAGCCCTAAAGGGCTCATCTGGTTTTAATGCCCAGAGTGATTTGTTTTCTTTATGGACAGTGTGGTTGCAAAACCATGTTGTTTAAGATTAAGCTTCTTTCATCTGGACAATGGCAGCAGCAACAACAACAACAAAGAAAAAAATGCTTTTGAAAATAACGAAAAAAAATCAAGTAACTTTTTTTTTTTCTGTGTGTGTATAAAAGAAAGTAATTACATCCAGGCATCCAGGCTGACCACAAATGCCAAGTTTGTGCTTGATGCAGTTTTAACTGGTTGAAATATTATTTCTAAATAAACAGAGTTTAAAATGGAAATTCTGACAAAGCTTTAACTATATTGCTATTACTATCATGTTAAATCATTGTTATTGTCCTAGTGGTGTCAGTGCATGGCTACGATTGCCTGTGGAATGATGAAAGCTCAAACCCAAAAAACTCAGCTTCTCATATAAAACTTCGGAGTATTCATCTAGAGGAGAATTACACCCACCCAACTTTTTAGCATGAAGTCATACTGGATTTGTTGTAATAAACGAGTTATTAGATGTAGCTTCTCTCCTAAATCATTTACATGCTCTGCAGCTATTCAAGGACCTCTGGTTTATTTTCAGTACCCATACCTTATCTTGGGTGTTCATCACAGCAGTAATAGTTGGTGCAGTGATTTAATAGAGTGTTGTCCACACTGACCTTTATTTCTTGTTTTGCTGGAATTTTTTACTGGAATCTTTCAACAGGGATTTTTTTTTGGGTGTCAGCTGTTGCAAAAAGGCTTCAGCAAGGTACAAATGGTTAGATTTGGTTTAGATAATTTATTTGAGTATTAGCGCGTTTGGAAACCGTGGAATTAACTTGGTGAAAGTGTGACTATGGTAATAAAACCGGACCATGCAAAGCTGGACTCTCTTAGCTGAAAAGACATTTTCTGTCTCACGTGGACTCACAGATTTTTATTAACAAAATTAAATTCACGCTCTTCTCGTCTACTGTCACTGGGCAGCATCTACCACAAATATTTATGATGGTGTGCTCCAGCTCCTGCATATCATAGTCATGCAAGCAATAAGTAGGAACACCCTCTAGTTTCTGCTGAGAGATCATTCAACTGGGCCTCCTCATTGAAAAGCGCCAGGGACAAAAGGGAAGAAAAGCAAAGTTTCTGTCCCAAAGGGCTCCTGGTGCTGCCCACTGGTGGCTCAGAGCCCCACTGCCCCGGGCGAGGGAGCTGGGACCCACATCGGGCACACAAACCCACTGCTCCTCCAGAGACAGTGTTGCTGCACCACCTTCAGCATCATCTGCCAGCATTTCCACCGTGAAATAGACAATGATTTTTGCATGTGCATGCAAAAAAGTTCATGTTATGGGCCCAAAGACCTGCACAGGTTACAGATTTTAAAACTGTTTGTAGGTTTAGGCGCTTCTTTACCATTAACATCCAAATCTTGCTGTCTCCCCAGCTCCTTACTGTCACCTTTTACAGTCCATCAGGACTGGGTGGTTCCTGCTGGCCTGGTGGTTCTGTGGAAACCCAAAAGCGAAGAACGGACCCATCCCTGGAGCCCATGGGTGCTGCAGTCCCCCTGGCTGTGCAGGCGTATGTGAGCACCAGCTGTCCTGCCCTGCACCACCGCGAGCGAAGGTGCTGCTGGTGCAAATCCATCATTTTAAGTGGAACGCTGACAGGGGGTTATTTGTGGAAGCCCGTGTCTGAGGAATATGTGTATACACGTAGCGCAGCTCATGGGAGGACACAGACATCGCCGTCAGAGAGCAAAAGCATCCAGCAGGCTTTGTGCAAAGCCACTCTTTTTGTCTTGGAGGAACCGAGGCTTGAAAGATCCTTGGCAGTAGGTTGAAAGCTCACTTTCTCGTCTAATCGCTGGTGAAAACGACTGTGGTGTCCAGGTGTTCCAGCTGGACAGTTTGCCTTGTTCTGTGCATTGCTACTTCCTTCCTGAGACAAGAACGAAACCCTATCAGCCTACTGCGATGGCCACTAGGAGGAATATTTCTTCCCCTTCTGTGTCAGTTTGTATTTCTCACCCCTTCTGTCTCCCTGCATTTGCCTCGTTACATCCCTCCTTTCCTCTGGGAGGGCGACAGACGGGGTCCAGTGCCTGTTTGCCCCCCTTGCCTGTGAATGACAAGCCAAGGCAGAGCACGAATGGACAACACTCCTTGACCATCCTCATCTCTGGACACAGATGGACAGATGGGTTTGGACAAGGGAAGGAGGAAAAGCTGGAGGAACTAAAACCGTCACCAGCCTTTCCTAACCCACTACTTCCAGTACCCCTCGTTTGGAAATTATTACTCATGGCTACGGGGCACCAGCCACTCTGGCAGCAGCCCCCAGAGACTCCAGGGTCAGAACATCCCTGGGGCCAG